AAATATAAAATAAATACAATGATAAATATAACAAAATAAAATCTGTACCTTTAGGAGCAATGTCTAACATGTGTAATTAACTTGTGAGTGTGTGAGGCCATTATGCCTAAATAAAGGTACTCAAGCTTTACTCTATTTAAGTTTTTCTTCAAAAAGATGAGTTTGTCTACGTTGTCAGTAGTGAGGGCAGATCTGTTGGTGGTAACTATGTCACCTGCCGTCGAGAAAACCCTCTCGCTGGGGACTGAGACATGATTGAGCATGTTTGACGTGTTACCACTAGCATACCGCACCGCTGTCGAACAACGCCGACACACCGTCCTCGTCCGATCCACAACTCGCACCCCATCATTGTTGTAGTCCACAGGGAACCCGAAATGTTCCCACACAGCTGATTTAAAAGAAGCAGGTGGGTCTTCTAGCTCCTGTGTGTTGTGTGAACTCGCCATAGCTAACTTTTCTTCTTCATGTATTGTGTTCGTTGTGTTTTGTTCTTGTTCTTCAATTGATATTTACGGGCGGCTGGCTTTTAGGCGCAATACCGCCCCCTGGATTATATATAGTGTAATACTGCCCTGAGTGGCAGACTTTTTTACCACTCATAAAAAAAGGCGTATTCGCCGTGTGACTGCATGTGCCGAACCGTGACGTCCGAACCGTGGCGGTACGGGACGAATACGGATACCGTTACACCCCTAATACGCACAGGACCATTTTTCTTTTTAAAGCAACACTTTTACTTTGAAAATCAATGCATTCTAATGCTGGGTCAATTTGACCCCGGCGGCGGTTTTAGGTATAACAAATCTCTGGCGGTTCGAGTGTTAACTATATTTGTTTTTGTCTTTTGGCTTATTAGCTGTAAACTCGAGGCACTGGCAGTTTAGTCATTTGTTCATCAACACTCACCTTCAAAGAAGCCAAGAAAAGCCGACATAACATTGGACAGTAAAGTGGGAGGTGCTGCTACCTGTCTGTGCGGCGCACCTACAGTGTAAGGGCACCACAGTTTCGCCTCTGAGAGTGTGTGTGTGTGAGGAGCTCCACAGATTGGTCCATTTGGGTATGGTCACGTCACTGTACCCAGGAAGGAAAAGAGAACTCTCCAACGAGGCATTCTGGGGCAGCATAGACAGGTCTTTTCTGTGTTAGAGTTTTACTCGGTACAGGGTGTACTTTGAGGGTTTGTGACTCTGCAGACCGTTTACATGCATAAAAACCTTCATAATCAGGGGTGCACATAACTTTTTTGCCCTGGTTCTCAAAGGAGCACCTGGAGATGTTGCTTGGTGCTCATCCTTAAAATGAAATAAACCGGAACTTTTGAGGGGGTCTTGACTTTATTTGCCAGACACACGGCACTAAACACACATGCATAGGTGAACACAGAACACACATGCAGAGGTGAACACAGAACACACATGCAGAGGTGAACACAGAACACACACGCAGAGGTGAACACAGAACACACACACAGAGGTGAACACAGAACACACACACAGAGGTGAACACAGAACACACATGCAGAGGTGGACACAAGACAACATTAGCACAACCAGTAATCCTACAAGCTGTCATCACTACCCTCCTGACTGTTCTCCTCACTGTCTTCCTCTCTGTCAGACATGGTAGCTGATGATGTAGGCCTACTTCTTCCTCTCTGGTTGAGTCTGTGATTAGCTGCTTGCATCCACAAGTCAACAGCTGGTTTTGGGTCGAAAGTCTCTGTTGTCATCTTAGACAAGTGGATGTAATCAAATAAGTATGTGAACATAACCAATAACCTACCATAGCCAATAACAAATTAATGTAACTTGTTTTATTTATGTTGTTCATTCATATCTTATTTTACCTAACATTTATTTATGCATTTTTTTTATCTCCAGTTTTAAAGGATATTTTTGGTTACTGTCCTATAGTATACATTGGAATGATTTCAAACCTGTTTATCCCATTAGGAGCAAACACAAAAGTGGTGGCTTAAAGCCCACCTCTGCTCCGTGCCGTCCTTTAGATGAGCCTGGTCAGATTTAATAAAAGAAGGAGTTCAAAACACCGGCATAAAAGTTATAACAATAATCTGATTTTAATACAGTAAAAAACACAATACGAAATACAGAGTGCCCTGAAACAGAGCACTCCGGGCTCCCCGCTCTACTGCCGTGCGATACAGATATCGGGACCAGCCAGTCAGAAACAGGGAGCATTTTGCATGAAGAAACAATATGGACATATTTGGGGTGGAGAGCCACTTCTTATCTTCCACCGGACCCAACTCCTTTAATTTCCCAGGGAAGGTTTCACACAAACTATTCTTTCCTAAACAATCAAACATTGCACACAGATATATTGGTATCAAACATTGTACACAGATATATTGGTGCTTGGGATTATATTGGCCCCAGCAAGAACCTTGAAAAAGAACGTGTGTGTGTGTGTGTGTGTGTGTGTGTGTGGTGTGTGTGTGTGTGTGGTGTGTGTGTGTGTGTGTGTGTGTGTGTGTGTGTGTGTGTGTGTGTGTGATGTGTGTGTGTGTGTGTGTGTGTGTGTGTGTGTTGTGTGTGGTGTGTGTGTGTGTGTGTGTGTGTGTGTGTGTGTGTGTGTGTGTGTGTGTGTGTGTGTGTGTGTGTGGCTGGCTGATATCTGGGTCAAGGAGTTTATGTGTGTGTGCTAGTGATATCTGCCTTATGGAGTGTAGGTAAGAAGGTTTATATATAGGATTACTTTAAAACAGTCCCAAATAATACATGTTCACTTCAATACAGTTCAAGATAATACCTGTTTACTTTAATACAGTTTAGAATGGAGAAATCTGATACAAATCCCTCAAGCCTACGCTCAGGGCTCCGGGGCCCTCAGCTGTTGAAATATTACAAAATTGCTTCATCATCACAGGTCAACTTCTTCAGTATTCCATTCTGGAATTACATCTCTCACAGCAGCCCCTTGGCCACTGATTCTGCATCTGTGTTACCTGTTATAACTCAATCAACATCCATCAAACAGTATCTTATCCCCAGATATGGAGCAGGTTAATTCTAAAACTGTCAATCAATGGTCAGATTGAAAAATGTAGATTGTGAAGTTTACATTAAAGCAAACCGATATTGTTCTAAACTGTATTAAAGTAAACGGGTATTATCTTGAACTGTATTGAAGTGAACATGTATTATTTGGGACTGTTTTAAAGTAATCCTATATATATATATATAAACCTTTTTACCTACACTACATAAGGCAGATATCACTAGCACACACACATAAACTCCTTGACCCAGATATTAGCAACACACACACATACGCCTCCGCTTATCAGCACACACACACACACACACACACACACACACACACACACACACACACACACACACACACACACACACACACACACACACACACACACACACACACACACACACACACACACACACACACACACACACTTCCCCTCACTAACACACACACATGTTCTTTTTCAAGGTTCTTTCTGGGTCCAATATAATCCCAAGCACCAATATATCTGTGTACAATGTTTGATACCAATATATCTGTGTACAATGTTTGATTGTTTAGGAAAGAATAGTTTGTGTGAAACCTTCCCTGGGAAATTAAAGGAGTTGGGTCCGGTGGAAGATAAGAAGTGGCTCTCCACCCCAAAATATGTCCATATATACTGTTGTTTCTTCATGCAAAATGCTCCCTGTTTCTGACTGGCTGGTCCCGATATCTGTATCGCACGGCAGTAGAGCGGGGAGCCCGGAGTGCTCTGTTTCAGGGCACTCTGTATTTCGTATTGTGTTTTTTACTGTATTAAAATCAGATTATTGTTATAACTTTTATGCCGGTGTTTTGAACTCCTTCTTTTATTAAATCTGACCAGGCTCATCTAAAGGACGGCGCGGAGCAGAGGTGGGCTTTAAGCCACCACTATTGTGTATGCTCCTACATTATAAAGGAGTGCCTTGGAAATATGTGTTTACATACATTTTGACCAAACCGTTTGAACTTAGACTAAAGTGAACTATCTAAACACTGAGAGTCCTTACCTCACTGAGCTGTAGTATCAGCCTCTCAGTCTGACTGGAGAGGACTCTCCCTCCACATTATTGTAGAAACATCTTCTTCTTATATCCGTTGGAGCAGCTAGCACCAGATTCTAATAACAACAGCGCCGGTACACCCACCCTCTCTCCCTCGCTCACTCGCATTTTGGCTGTGAGCTGCGGGCGCCAGATAAGCCAACATCCCCCATTTTCATCACTTACAGCGCCCATCATACAGGGCAAATGAAACGTGTAACCGGGGTGAAAAGGGTGTTACATTTACTTAATTATGAATATTGTTACATCAAGGCCGAAAATTAGGATGAGCACCAACGGTCAAAAATGTTTTCTTCCCTCCCAGAACTGCCAGCGCAGCGCCTCCCCAGATCTGGCGCCCTATGCGAACATCTATTACGCCAGTGCTACGGGCCGGCCCTGAGTTCATTATCATAGGTTCATATGCAACTCGCAAATATATTTCTCTCTCTCTTCTCTCTTCTCTCTTCTCTCTCTTCTCTCTCTCCCTCTCTCAATGTTGGTATGCAAATGTACCTTTTTTCAAATGACACGGTGCTCTTTTTTTGGCGCACAGTCTGCGCACCAGTTATGTGCAGCCCTGTTCATAATACACAAGGGGACGGGTAATAACTGGAAAAGCATGGCATGGGACCTTTAAGAAACTATACATACATAACAAACATACAACTAGCATATCAGAAAATGTAAAAACATAGGCTGACATATATTAAACAAGGAGTGTACAATTCCTGTCCCAGAATAAAAGTGTTCTGCATGACAACACAACAAATAAACAAGATATGTAAACAGCAGGGTAGAGTATGGTGTATAAGAATGTGTCGTGCTTATGATATTTGGATTGTCCTTGCAATAAGGAACCTCCACATGCAACACAGGTGTTTGTCTTTGCAATCATTATCCTTGTCTGTGTGCTTTTAGAAAAGCTTCTCCAAAGATGTCAGCCCCTTGGTCTCCAAAGCAGTGAAGAGAAGTGAGGGCTCTGACGCCGTGGTCCACTTGCCAGGAGTTAAGATCTTCTACGGCTCTCAAACTGGAACAGCAAAGGTACAGATACTGTTTAGTACTGTAAATAGGATTGTGCTACTGAAAATCTTCTGATAACAATAAAAATCTATATATAGCAATAATGGTAATTCCATCAATAAATTGTCTCATAGAAATAACTACGTGGTAAGGCCTATTTTTCCTATTCTCGTGTGTGAATTAAGTACAAATAAAAAAGAATTTTCGAATGTAATACATACGTTCAGTTAGAACAGTTAGCTTTACGGGTTGCCCTTCTGACAGTCTCTAGGGTAATCGAGGAATTAATCGATAAGATGTTCTGGACAATTTTGAAGAAGAGGACGAACTGAGCCGAGGGACCTTTCCATCAACTCCGCTGGATTACAGCTATCCCGCTTGTATCTCCAAAGATTAATCATGTTCTTCTTGGTTGACTGAAGAGCATCAATGTCTTTACCAATGTATGGGTCCCAGATCGAGTTGGCAAACTCTGCTTTAGAACGTACGCTGTCTCCTTAAATGTCTGTGGGCAGCGTCGTAACCCAGCTATCTGTTTACCTGTGTTACTATTTGGTGAATGTGTTAGTGAATTTAGGCTATTTGTGAATTTCTTACCCAAGATAAAGGTGGTAGGTCGCCTCTTTGCGATGGCGGCTCACATACTAAATGTCCCATTCTGAAATGACTGATTAGACTCTTCATTTGTTCAGGGTTTTGCAAAGGAGTTGTCGGAGGAAGTGAAGACTTTGGGCATACCAGCTGAGGTGATCGACATCAAAGACTACGATCCAGACGATCGACTTTCTGATGAGGTAAGGTCGCTCCAGTCAAGTGAAGGACAGAAAGACATCAGTGTGTAGAGACATAACGCCTGTAACAGGAACACATCACTCTAAGAGATTTTGTCCTCGAACAGGAACCTAAACGACTGCGAACTTCAGCACCGATCCTCTCCACATTGCCCCTAATTTAAACGCTGTATAATATCACAGACTAACATACATAGCAGTATGCCGTATGTACTAAGAACTTGCTCCAGGGTGTTAATTAAATCTCTAAGAGTGAGCAATGCTTACAGGCAAGGCTTAATTAGAGCAGCATGCATCAAAGTAAAATAAATCAGAAGTGGCTTTTTTTGTTGTAAGCTTGACAACAAACAGTGCTGTTAGCCCCGAGTTCTGTAATGTGCCTGCTCAGCTTTCCCTTCATTTTTTTCACACTGATTTGTTATTTCCAAGTCTGGCACAGAAAACAAATGTTTTCCACAAATCCAGCTCAGCTGAAAAAGATGGATATTTTAATCAGTGTTCCTTTTTTGTGGGCACAGGCACAGTGAGGTGCATTGAGAGATGAATAGGAATTTGGTGGGCTAGTGCACAGCAGGAAAGAAAATATCTATTTATTCAGAAAAGGACAATCAATAGTGCACAAACTAGCCATCACATACTCTAGGTATAATTGTTGTGAAGGTATATGTTTCAAATTCCCATTGCATGTTCTAATTCCAATTCCAGGTTCCAATTCAACATTCAATATTCAAATTCTAAGTTTCAAATCCAAGTGCCAATTCCGGTTTAATTTACAATTCTAATTCCAGGTTCCAAATTCCAATTCCAATTTTTTAAAAAAAAATAAAAAAAAAATAAAAAAAAAAAAAAATAGAAATTCCAAATTCAAATATTAATTACAGGTTCAAATAGCAAATTCTAGGTTCCAAATTCCAATGTGTACAGTAGGGCTGCTCAATTAATCATATTTTAATCGCGATTACTATTATGGCTTGCAACGATTACGAAAACAACGTAATCGAAATAAAACGATTATTTTTCTATTACTTTTTTATTTATTTTTATTTTTTCAGTTGAATTATACTTACATTTCAGGTTAATCAACTGTTAAAAACATACTGTTCACATTTTTTTTCTTCCAATAAATGGATGTTTTCAAAGTCAATGAATAATCGCATTTAATAATCACAATTACAATTATTGACCCAAATAATCGAGATTATGATTTTTGCCATAATCGAGCAGCCCTAGTGTACAGTATGCTAATTGTATTTCCAGGAGCCGCTTGTTCTTACTGCTCCATTGCTTTGCAAGATTTGTCTTTATTTGGATAAGCCTTACAGGAGTAGGGTACTTGTAAAATGTCTTGCTCTTACTTCACTGTTTCACCGTCTTCCTCTTGTTTACTGTGTGTCCCTCTGCCTTCAGTGCACCAACATGTCTGTCTGTGTGTTCCTCGTGGCCACGTACACTGACGGAACCCCCACGGTGAACGCAGAGTGGTTCTGCAAGTGGTTGGAGGAGGCGTCCACTGACTTCAGATACGGGAAGACCTACCTGAAGGGCCTCAGATATGCAGTGTTTGGTCTCGGCAACTCTGTCTATGTCGGCCACTATAATACGGTAATCTATTATATCAAGTACTATCAAAAATATGTGCTAAGGGCGCTAGTGAGCAGGGTATGGAGTGAGACGTCTTTTTCAGAGCTCCTGCAGAGTTTTATACTTAAACGGCGTTATTCACATCAGAACCAGATTAAACCTCACTAAAAAAAGCTTGAAGATATTATAACCTTAACTAAGTCAGAAATTCCGAGTTTGATGGTGGCAAATCTCCGGAAATACAAATATACGAGAAGGCCTGAACAATCCCCGACGCAGGGTACTCCAGCCAACCGTAACAGAGCGTCACCTGTCCGTACCGAAGCTACAGATATGACCGCTGAAAAGATCAAGGCAGACGTCCTGTCGTCCCTGAGGGGAGACTTCGCTAATATGTTACAGGAAGAAGTGAAGAACGCCCTTGCAAAGGAATTTCGCCTCCTCAAAAGTGAACTGCAGGCTGTCAGGTCAGAAATCACCACCAACACAATTGCAATTCGGGCTGAAATGGATCAAATGAAGGGAGACATTAAGGATGTAGGGGAAGGCCTGTCGACAAAGTAAACTCGCTACAAACTGTCGTAACTAACCTGAAAAGCCAAGTCAAAGAGCTTCAAGAAAAGAGTGAAGACATGGAAGGTAGGATGAGGAGGGGGAATATTCGTATAGTAGGCGTAGATGAGCAGCCAGACTTGAGCACTCCTGAAGCTATTTCCAAACTTCTCAAAGAAGCACTACATCTTGACCGAGACATCAAAATTGACCGATCACACCGCAGCCTTATAGGGCTGTGCATCTTCACTGGTCTCACGATTCGATTCGATTACGATTATCCTGTCAACGATTCGATTCAATTCGATATCCCGATGCATCACGATTCATACCAATGCGTTGCATCCTCGATTTTCTATATTACTGCACATGGCTTATTTTTCATCAATGCATACATGCAGTAAATACATATGAACTCTCTTTTTATTATTTAGAAAGTGCTTCAGAAATCAATAACATAAATGTCTTGACATTAATTTATAAACCAAAATAAATGAATTGTATAGGTCTAGCCTCCCTATATCTGTGTGTGAAGTTGTTCCATCCTCAAAAACAAAAAAATAATGCTTCTGCAGTCTAGCTGCAGCTACTAGCAACGGTCTTCTGTTAAAAAAAGGACACTGAATGTCCTGAATGTGGCGTCACACACAGGACTTGAGTCTGAACACAGCAGACAACAGGAGTATTTACAATAGCATATACAAACAAAAATACTGCATGTGGGTGCACACTTACATTCTCTGTCTTACTGTTACATAAATCCCATGAATGTATGAGATTAAGTTAGCTCAGTGATTAAGTGAATAATAAAGTTTCTATCGGGTCACTATCAGCCTGTCACTCATTATTTTCAGGGCGGGGTTTGGAGGAACAGAGTAGACGGTGATCGCGGAAGCTTTTTTCCTCCTGCCTTCACAAACTTTACACACGTATATATCGTCTGAAAATTGCTAGAGGACATTCATACTCTGCAATCCAAGACTTGATTAAATCCACCAAAAACCTGACATGATTGTAACGCGATTATTTTTGAAAAACATAAATCCCTGTGTCTCTGAGCCGCAGCGACACGGAGTGATTCAGAGCGGGTCCTTCTGCTGTTGGTTCTGGACTGGTGTTCTTGTGTTGGTGCGCAGACTGCTTCGTGTTTGGTGTTGCTGTGCCGCTGTCACGTCTGTTCCCTGATCTCTGCGTCACCGACCGATTTGATATTAAAGTGACAGAAAAAAAAACGTTATAGTAAAGCCGCTGCCGGAAAATCAGGAAGCAACGTTACTACGCTATAATCGATTATCTTCCGTCACGGCATCGATACCGAATCGTCCACGTCCGCATCGCATCGTAGAAACGATTATTTTCAACACCCCTAGAGCCTTATGAAGTGGAAGCCGGGGGATAGACCACGGGTCATTATCGCCAATCTGCACAATGACGGAGACGCAGCGGAGGTGCTTAGAAGAGCCCGAGACAGAGCCCCACTCAACTACAATGGAAAACGGATATCCATCTTCCCCGACTATACCAACAACGTAGCTAAAGCCAGAGCTGCATTCACGGACGTGAGGATGATGCTACGAGGACGTCAGGGAGTTCGCTACGGACATCTGTTCCCTGCTCGGATGCGGATCTCAGTTGGAGACGAGGAAAAGGAATTTCTGGACCCTGCAAAGGCTTTGGAATATGTGCTAAAGAAAGTCATCCCAGAGACTGAGAAGTGAATGAACACTGACCACCAGCTTTGAAAACCACAACGCCAGTATGTAAATAGTCCACATAACGCACATAAACACACTTAAGCTAATAACCCCGTTCTGAATACTAATGTTTGCCAAAGAAAACCATTGCACTTGATAAGATAATTATTATCTGTTATAAGTTCTTTATATATGAATGGCTATGTACCATTTGTGACCTGCTCTATCGAAATCAGTCGCATTGACCCGAAGACACATTTTGAGTTGTATACACTGCTGGAAAGAGGATATTCCTAGCTTTCTAATGATATCAGGATTGTTTTTGTTCTCCAAATATTAAGCGAAATATGTCACATTATATAATGACTGTCACCGAGTCATCATTTTGAGAAAAAGGCCTTCAAAGTTTTCTCTTCTCTGGAATCCATCGATCTGATTGATTATTAGCAAATTATCAAAATACTACGGAGGGAAGATATTTTCCTTTGGATTACTGGTCTGGGGGAAGCTCGTGAGTGTGTGTGTGTATTTTTGCGTTTGTGTGTATTGCGTTTGTTTCCCGGGGAAAACACTCACAAGAAACACCGGCTGTTGTTATGCCTGCTGTGACGTTAAGTTACTCCGTTCTCCGCTTGTAATTATGCCTTTACAAGCTTCAAAGCTGTATTTATCATCTGAATTTGCCGAAACAAGTTTAATATTCTGAAAGCCAAGACTTTGTTTAATTGAACTCAGATGAAAACAAACTGTAACGGACCCTGCCGTGTTATTTATGATTATTCTACGCTTACATTCATAATGTCAGCCGGAGGGAGGGGGGGCGGCGCTGCGGAAGAGCAGATTGCCTGTCATCTTCCCTTTACAAGCTTAAAGAATGTATTTATCGTGTGAGTTTGGAAATAAAAGTTTCATATTCTGAAAGCCAAGACTTTGTTTGTTTAAAATCAAACAAAACACCGAACCCCGAAAAAAATTTTTTTTACGCAAATCCACGTTTATTTTGAAATGAGCCGTTGCGACTTCTGACTGATTTCGATAGAGCGGGTCACATTTCATATCCAATCATTATTTGCGACACTATTTTGTTTGTATTACTCGTATATGCCGTTATGCTTAATTATTTCAAATATAAAACATATTAAGCTCTGCAGGAGCCTGAGTAACACCTGACTTCCCTTATATCTTAGCACACAGTGCAGTCAAACTTTATCTAGACTGCCTTTTCGCTGCTTTTATTTAAGCAGCTAGGGACTAGGTCCCGCCCCTCACCACATGATGATAAACACATGTTTATTTGTTCTCTCTGTTCTACTGATTCTGATCCCCCTGTTCCCCCGGGATCCTAAGTTCAATGTAAGGTCAACACTACTACCACATTATCCAACTATTGAAACTGCCAAATGGCCCAATCTGAAGATGGTAATACAGTGGGGCAAAAAAGTATTTAGTCAGCCACCAATTGTGCAAGTTCTCCCACTTAAAAAGATGAGAGGCCTATAATTTTCATCCTAGGTACACTTCAACTATGAGAGACAGAATGGGGGGAAAGAATCCAGGAAATCACATTGTAGGATTTTTAATGAATGAATTGATAAATTCCTCGGTAAAATAGTATTTGGTCACCTCCAAACAAACAAGATTTCTGGCTCTCACAGACCTGTAACTTATTCTTTAAGAGCCTCCTCTGTCCTCCACTTGTTAACTGTATTAATGGCACCTGTTTGAACTTGTTATCAGTATAAAAGACACCTGTCCACAACCTTAAACAGTCACACTGTTGGCTAAGACCAAAGAGCTGTCAAAGGACACCAGAAACAAAATGGTAGACCTGCACCAGGCTGGGAAGACTGAATCTGCAATAGGTAAGCAGCTTGGTGTGAAGAAATCAACTGTGGGAGCAATTATTAGAAAATGGAAGACAAACAAGACCACTGATAATCTCCCTCGATCTGGGGCTCCACGCAAGATCTCACCCCGTGGGGTCAAAATGATCACAAGAACGGTGAGCAAAAATCCCAGAACCACACAGGGGGACGCATCGCCACACACACGTGGGTCACCCAAAGCAACAAGCAGTTCGCAATCGCACTTCAAACACAATGGAGACTGAAACGGCTACCACCTCCTCCTCACAGGATTGCGCACGAAGCCCTGCAAAAAGCCGCCAAACAAAAACATCTCGCCCTAGGTCTTCAAAAGCATGGGAATACTTTAAATTTAGTCCAAAACGCAAAGGCATTGTTATTTGCAGTCTTTGCCAAATGGAGTTGGCATACCACACTAGCTATGTTGGAGCATTTAAAGCGGCGGCACCCCCTTGTCTCTCGTGAAGGGAACAATGATAAGTAAGTACTAACTTTGGCTAAATTAATTCCACGTTTGTGTAGTGTGTTGTGCAGCTTGAGTTCTGTGCACTTCGGTAGTGCTAACTATCTTATATCCGTGCGGTTTGTTCGTGCTTGGTTGGTTAGTAGTTAATGTTAGCTACCTAGCTAGCGGCGCCAGCTGTGTGTTAGTTCACTTTTGTCAGCATTTAATGTTGGCTGGAATGGTAGCTAGTTTACGTCTGCAGTACACCGCTATCTAGCCGCTACTAACCCGGAACGAACTAACTGCACAGAGAGCTAACTCATGTTGTGGTCCTTTACGAGTCAAACATAACATTAGACTAACGTTAGTCAGCTTATGGCGCGTTTCCACTGCAGCAGGTAGCTCGCTTTAAGCGTGCCGAGCCGTGCGGGGCCCGTTTTTGGTTGCGCTTCCACTTGGCCTAGTTTTTCACCTTTTTTCTGGTCCGACTAAATCGTGTTTCTTGGGCCAGGAACAACCAGGCTGAGTCGGGCTGAGTATGCTAAACTAGAGAGAGAATCGCTGGCAAGGCGGCTACAACTACAACAAGATGAACATATTTGACCGTGATTTCATTGTAATACACGTTTCAAAATGATGCCGAAGTAACAACATACTGATACCGGTTAGTAAAAACCATGAATTAATGCTTGACAAGTCTGCAGACAGACGGCAAGCGAAAAACCCTTTTTAAAATGCGTGTTTTCTAAATGTAGCTTGGCTAAGCTAACGTTATAAATGCTCCGACCGTCCACACTCACAACAACGGCCTATACAGACATAAACAAACCATCGACTGTATTCGCCATGACACAGGCAGTCTGTGGTTTGTACTTGTTTAACTTTTGTCTAGTTTCTGAACAGATATGAATAGCTGTGAGCTCTAAGTGCTAATAGCTAACGGCTGTGTTGTTTTTTGGGGCGCTCATTGAACAAAAAAAACTATTATTAAGAATTTTTTGGTATTTATTTGAGATACATTACGTTTTTTATGAATCGAACAACAGAAAAATAATCGTTAGATTAGTCGACTAATCGATAAAATAATCGCCCGATTAATCGTTTTCAAAAAAATCGTTTCCCCCCAGCACTACTGGGACCAAAGTAACAAAGGCTACCATCAGTAACACACTACGCCGCCAGGGACTCAAATCATGCAGTGCCAGACGTGTCCCCCTGCTTAAGCCAGTACATGTCCAGGCCCGTCTGAAGTTTGCTAGAGAGCATTTAGATGATCCAGAAGAGGATTGGGAGAATGTCATATGGTCAGATGAAACCAAAATAGAACTTTTTGGTAAAAACTCAACTAGACGTGTTTGGAGGAGAAAGAATGCTGAGTTGCATCCAAAGAACACCATACCTACTGTGAAACATGGGGGTGGAAACATCATGCTTTGGGGCTGTTTTTCTGCAAAGGGACCAGGACGACTGATCCGTGTAAAGGAAAGAATGAATGGGGCCATGTATCGTGATATTTTGAGTGACAACCTCCTTCCATCAGCAAGGGCATTGAAGATGAAACGTGGCTGGGTCTTTCAGCATGACAATGATCCCAAACACACCGCCCGGGCAACGAAGGAGTGGCTTCGTAAGAAGCATTTCAAGGTCCTGGAGTGGCCTAGCCAGTCTCCAGATCTCAACCCCATAGAAAATCTTTGGAGGGAGTTGAAAATCCGTGTTGCCCAGCGACAGCCCCAAAACATCACTGCTCTAGAGGAGATCTCCAGCAACAGTGTGTGAAAAAGACTTACAGAAAACGTTTGACCTCTGTCATTGCCAACAAAGGGTATATAACAAATTATTGAGATGAACTTTTGTTATTGACCAAATACTTATTTTCCACCATAATTTGCAAATAAATTCTTTAAAAATCAGACAATGTGATTTTCTGGATTTTTTTTTTTCTCATTTTGTCTCTCATAGTTGAAGTGTACCTAGGATGAAAATTACAGGCCTCTCTCATATTTTTAAGTGGGAGAACTTGCACAATTGGTGGCTGACTAAATACTTTTTTGCCCCACTGTATATAGTACAGCTGGATTAAGCATATTCACAGTCCACTCCTTTTTGTTTTGTTTATATTTTGCTATTCAATATTTTGGTAAATGGGTCAATAGATGGTATCAAAGTCTCTCTTATTAATGTATATGCACCGAACGAAGACGATCCTAGCTTTATCAGAACAATCTTCAATAATATAGTACAGCATAGCTCTGGACTCTTAATGATGCGGGGGGGGGACTTCAACTGTGTTTTTATCACAACACATGGACAGACAACCCTCATCAAAAGCTCCCCTCCCGAGAATGAGTAAAATGCTTAAACATCAATCTATTGAGCTAGGTTTGGTAGATATCTGGAGGAGCAGGAATCAGAGACGCAGGGACTTTACATTCTACTCATGTAGACATGCATCGTACTCTAGGATTGATTTTTTTTTACATCCAGATCAGAGCTGCATAGAGTAGAAGACATAGAGATAATGCGCATTACTATTTCTGACCACTCACCCATTGAACTTAAATGGAACATAGGCCATAGACCAATCTCTAAACAGTGGAGACTTAACACGTCCCTCCTTAATGATAAATATTTTACCACTTGTATCAAGTCAGAGCTTAATTACAATCTAGAAACTAATGACACACCAGAAACATCACATCTTATATTATGGGATTGTGCCAAAGCGTTTATCAGAGGTAGTATCATTTCGTACACATGTGCTAATAAAAAGAAAAAGGATGCCAAACAACGGGAATTAGGATAACATAAAGGGACTAGAAAAAGAGCATAAACGAATTGCCACACCGTGCCTTACTAAAACTCTTAATGCAACCTGTAGAGAACTTAACAGCTTACTAGCAGATAAGAATGAGGGGAACTTAAGGTTCACTAATCAGCGATATTCTGAATACGGTAATAGGGCAAGTCGACTACTGGCATTTAGACTAAATAAACAGCAGTCGTCTAATATATAGACCCTCCAGAAAAACGCGGGCAACAATCCTTGATTATGCGGGCAAACATGCAGGGTTTTATGTGATTTTATGCGGTGAAATTGCGGGAAGTTGCGAAATATGCGGAAAAAATAAATATTGGGCTGTCTTATTTATTCTCTCTCACACACAACCTGCCACTAACGTTAAACCCCTTTGGATATATGGATATATTATTCAGGCTACAAAATTAACATAGGAAAAACAGAAGCCATGCATATTAATGATAGAATATTACAGAGTACAAAACTCCAGAGTGGTTATACATGGTCGAAAGACGGCTTTAAGTACCTTGGGATATATATCACCAAATCAGCACATGATCTATATGATGCCAATTATAAGAAATTAATTAAATGTATTGGTAGCGATATGGACCGATGGTCTACACTCCCCCTCTCTCTACTAGGTCGTGTGGAGACAATACGTATGAATGTTTTGCCCAGGTTACTTTTTTTCTTTTAAATGCTACCTATTGAAATCCCTAAATCGACTTTTGACACCTTGGATAAACTAATCTCCCATTTCATATGGCAAAGGAAGTGCCCAAGAATTAGACTTAAAACACTACAGCTATCTAAGCCAGATGGAGGTCTTAAACTTCCCAATTTAAGATACTACTACTGGGCTGCCCAAATGAAACCCTTAGTAGCGTGGGTCCAGAACTGTACTTACACACGCTGGCTTAATATTGAGCAAAGTATGTGCCAAAAGCCTCTGCATATATTGCCTTTTTCAGATGCCCCCATAAAGGAAATAGGACAATGGACTGCATCTACTTTAAAAATATGGAAAAAAATACAATCAGCATTTGGGTTACCCAAAAAAATGTCACCGCTAACAAATATTGGTTATATGAGAACCTTTATACCTAGTAATTTAGTTTTAATTTAAAATTGTCGGAACATGGCTTGACTTCATTATATCAGATACTGGATAAAGATAATCTCAGGACATTTGAACAGCTAAAAAATTATTTCCATATTCCTAAAACAGACCTTTTTAGATATTTGCAGCTCAGACATTTCCTTACCACCCACAAAGAATGGGAACAATTCAGAAAACCTACCCCAATAGAAAATTATCTGATACAATTAAAATTGGGAAATAAAGGACCGAAAATAGTTGGTAAATTATATGAAATATTCCTATTAATGAATCTGGATAGCTCGGTGAATATAAAGAAAAGATGGAATTATAAATGAACGTAGATATTACCCAAGATACCTGGGAGGACATATTCACCGAAGCAAACTTAGTGACAAACTCATATACATGGAGAGAATTGAAATGGAAAGTAGTTACCAGATATTTCCGAACACCAGATATATTGTCAAAAATGGGCCCAACACATAGTAACTTATGTTGGAGGAACTGTGGAACTGTGGGAAATCATACTCGTATATTTTGGTTATGCCCTAAATGACATACATTTTGGAAATAATTATTTGATGCTCTTAAAGAAGTGTTCCAGCAGAATATTGCTCTAAATCCGATGGTGGCTATACTGGGAGTCTTACCTGAGGGTCTAGAAGAGAGGTCTAAGACTTATCTATTAGGAATTTTATTGACAGTGGCCCTGAAGTGCATCACCATTAAATGGTTGAAACCAGAACCTCCCACCTATAACTGCTGGATTCAGAGAGTGTGGGATATCCACCACATGGAGCAAATCACATATTTATTACGCCTACAGAAAAATATATTTATCAAGCGATGGGCCCCTGTCATGCATCTACTAATACAATAAGAATTGTTAACACCTTTGTCACTTGTATTCTCTTTCCATCATTATTATTTTTGTTTATTTACGATTATTTGTCTTATTTTCCAAGGTAGGCCATCTTTATTACATTTAAAAAATGTTTAGCCCTGGAGTGGCACTGTATTATCATAACGGAAAATGTGAATTTTACTATAAAATATATTGTATTGTATTATTGTTTGAAACGAAAAAAAAAAAAAAGTTCTAAAAAAAAAAGATGTGCTCTACAATCGGTTATTTTAAGAACTATCGAAAACTAGAAATTGACAGATTTAAACTCTCAGGGAAGAACAGTCCAGGGAAGAAGTTGACAACTTGTTCAGCATTCAGTAATTATCTTTGTTCTCTTCTCCTAACCAGGTGGGTACAAACGTGGACAAGTGGCTTTGGATGCTGAGTGGCATGCGCATCATGACCAGGGGAGAGGGCGACTGTAATGTGGTGAAGAGCCATCATGGCAGCATTCAGGCAGACTTCCTGGCCTGGAAAGTGAAGTTCCTGACCCGCCTCCAGGCCCTGGCCAAGGGAGAGAAGAAGAGCTGCAGTGGGAACTCTAAGAACGGAAGCTCCTGTAAGAACATGAAGAAGGAACAGGAGGAGGACGAGGCAGCGCCTGTACCGCAGGACAACAGCTCTGAGGTAGAGCAGTTTATCTCATTTTTTGTTGCACACCATAAACTGTTGTCCTTTTGGTCTTAGTGGTTTTACATGTTTGAGTTGCACGTTAAGTCTTGCTTTCAGAACAACACTCTTGCTCATCAGTCTCCGGTTTGTACATGCCAGTCGGACAAAATATGTCAATGAGCCCTTGCCCATGTCAATATTGGATTAGGAACCTAAAATATGTTCCTGGTTCCTGCCAAATGCTGTAATAATGGTTAACTTAGTTTTTATTTTGGCACCTTGGGGGGGCCAAAATAGCAGAAAAGCTGATGTCTAATTAGAAAATGATCCTCTTGTTTATGATGTTGTTCAACATCACAAGGGCACTTCAGATATTATATCTGGACTACAACACCTCATCTTGCAAGGACTGAGTTTATTGGGTTAGTAGCACGGATGTTGTGCATTTTCAAGAGAAAGCACAAAGGTTGCATGCGTTATAACTATCAATACTGTACATCCTGTCAAAATATAGAAATAGCTCTTACTCGTTCCACCAATCATTGAATTAATATGTTGTTAGAAGGACATTTATTTTAGTTTTTTATGCACTAGTGTCAAATTGGTAGTCTGGATTGGAAATATGGTCCACAAGAAATAAAAAGGTAATCCACTGATAGCAAGGTTGGCGGTCTGATCCCCACCGCCTCCTGTCCTCATGTCAAAAACACTCCTTATAGTAGCAGCACTGGTGTGTGAGGGAGTGTGCAACAATTGCAACGCGTCCAGGATTAAAGTGCAATATGATTGCAGCCCATTGACTATTTACAAACACAGACCTAACATGCACACAAATGCAGAGAACTTTCATACACATCATAGTACACACATTTGACCAGTTGTCATGGTAGCGGCGACTCAGAGCCAACTCTAGTTGATTCTTCTTCCTCTCTGATTGCACTCAGCAGAGGTGACATTCAACCGGCTCCAAGAGGAGCTGAGAGAATCAGCAAGGTCCATACGTGATTTATCTTCCACCGCTCATGTTGATCCTGCACATGTGGGCAGAATACGCAACACACATTGTGATAAATCCTTGGTAAACATGCCTATGGTTTCTAGGGAAGAGGATTTGTGCACACATGTGCATTTTTTGACATCTGACCAAAAGTGACTTTTTTTGAGTACATAGCCAGGGCCGCTCCTGTCCAACTTGGGGCCCCAAGCGACATTGTGAGATGAGGCCCCCCCCCCCCCCAACCGACAGGAGTGAAAACATTTTTTTTGGAAACAAAGTAGGCTACTTTGCAAATATTATTTTTTTATTTTTTTATTATCAACACAGTTACTTTTTTACACAGTGAGGTAAATGGTAAATGTGCATGTATGTCGTTCAGTATGCGTTTACAGGTGAATACGTCTGCATTTCCTGCCAAATACTAGCCTCAAAAAGATTAAAATATAATTAATGCAAATAAACTACTTCTACTAATAATAATCATAATCATAATCAATTCAATAATATAAATACTATATTATTTTATTATAATATAGTTGTAATATAGTCAAGACAAAACATGCTTATGACATGCTCAAAAACTGATATTTCTTAAATCTGTATATAGTTCCCTCTGTCAGCAATGTATCAATAACTACACACACATTTATATCAGTATTTCTCTGTGTTGTGGTTGACATAATGATCACTGTTAGGAGTTAAGGGGAGAGGCTGAGCGTCACCATGAAATGTGCAAATTGACATAAAAATGAATAAAAGGGGAAAAAATGCTCCATGTTTTTTAAGCTGTAAACTTGAACTGTTATGTAAGCCAACTAGACAGACAGTGTATCACTCTTCCTCCTGTACATTAGCAGATAAAAGGCATAACATACTTGAATGAATGTTAAATAAAGAATGCTGGAAATAACTGCATCTCCATTAGCCTATATGCTATGCAGAGACTGCCTTCTTCATGTTGTGAATTGCAGCTGATGTTTTAATATGGCAATTGGCAATTTGACTTATACAACATTCGCAAGTTGTACATTTGACTCATACAATAACCCACCTTCGAGTGATGCTCTAGTTTCTTCATGTTTTGTTTTTTTCCCCTCTTGCTTGCACCGGACTGAAACTGTCTTTTCACCGACATCTCTTCACCTTGGGCCTGTACTACGAAGCTGGTTCAACCTAACCTGGATATGTTTGAGTTAGCCGATTGGCCTAATCCAAAACATACGCGCTGTCGCTAAGCTGTCCTACGACACTGGTTATCAAGTGGATCGCTCAAGCCAGCCGTGTCCTATCTAGTTAGGTGCGCGTTCACATGAAAGGGGTGGTATTTGGAGCATTCGACCAATCACAAACATGGAGAAGCGCACTGACAGCGCAGCGTCATACTTCCTGAATGAAAAGTTAACTTTAATACTAGTCAAATATGAAGAAGTTAAACTTTAAACATCCATGACTTAAACACTTTATCCAGGATAAAAGCCACATAGCTGCACCTGCAAGGTGAATACAGCTGGCAAAAGAAAAAGTGTTTGAATGCGTACATTAACAGGTTTATGATAACACTGCCCCGTCTAAAACACGATCTGACTTTAATTACATTTGTCTCGAGTGTTTCGTCAACTTAATGTGTTGCTTAAAATAATACTTCTGCATACAGTATGTGACACTGTAAGTGTTGCACGGCCAGATACGGCTCAAGAAGCTGACTCAGATAAGGAGATATATGATACATTATGATGTGATATGAATGATAATGGGACACATCGACGTCTGCACTCAGTGTACTTATGTTGTGGCAGATATTTAAGTAAGCTTTCTTAAGCTAATGTTATAATAGTCAGATTGCTTTGAAGATGGGAGGTGATATTCTATTCATTTTCACGTTCACACAGTCGGTAATTTTTCCCGGCCGTCTTTCCTGCAATAGGCGCATTCACACCGCAGTACTTTTCCCACAAAGGTTCATGAGAACTTAGCTCATGAGCACTCTTTTGTCGCGTTCACACCAAAAAGAGCCGGTACTAAAATTAGTTTATGAGAACCTTTTTACCCCCACGAAAGTCCCTGCTAGAGAGCAGGGACTTTCGTGGGGGTAAACATTTTCCTATTTCTGATTGGCTGGGCGGAATGCAAACCACGCCCCGTAAAACTCCCAAAAAGTTTTGTGAAGCCGCCATTTTATTCGCATTATTAGCATTAGCCCAGCGCAGAAACGCAGAGAGACTAACTTAAGGCAACACAAAATAAAACATGGGAGCGGTGGAGATGAGGAGGTGTCGGTGTTCTGGCGATTTACTCGGAAGCCAGTCCCCAACTCTGGGGACTTCCGGCCGGGGACTTTGGGCGGCAGTATACGGCGTGAAGTGGTTTGCGGCCTGCCAGTAAACCCAAAGCAGAAGAAGAAGTGACGTCAGCGGCTTCATTTGCCTAATCCACCCCCAGGGATTTATTCCGGTGTGAACGCGATATGTACTTAGTTCATGAGAACTAAAGAGTTCTCATGAACTAAGTTCTCATGAACCTTTGTGGGAAAAGTACTGCGGTGTGAATGCGCCTATTGGCAGTTTTTCTGTATTTCCTTTCTCCTGTAATATGACTTGATCGCTTTAAACTCCGCACACTGAGCTCTGATTGGTCAGCAGGCGGTGCTTTCACTGAGTTGAGCTCTTGCAACCTAACCTGGTCCCGACCAGGTTAGCCGCTAAGCATAAGTTACCATGGAGATCTAGACTGCTAAAAAGAGAACCAGCTTCGTAGGACCGGAAAGCCGGAGTTTTCCCTGAATTTAGCCGGCTAAGCGAAAATCCTGCTTCGTAGTATACCCCCCGGCACTAGTGGCCGTATTAAAGTCGTGATTGGTCAGATGTCGATTCATTGCAACTAGTGCTGCGTACCGGTACGCCGAACCGGTACTGGACTTGTAAAAAGTTTCGGTTCAAGTCCGGTTAAAACCGGAACGTCGGGAACCGGTACTTGGACTCGCAAAAAAACTAGCACTTACGTATATTCTGGTGTCTGTGGTTATTTAAACATTCCCTGATAAACGTTATTCAGCGTCAATAAATGAGTGCTAATCCCAGTGTGCTCAATCTACAACATCACATGTCATTTCACCTTCGATTCACGGTTTGAAAACATAGCATTTCGCCACATGCTAATGCTAACCAGAAGTGAAGAATTTTCAGAATAAAAGTATTAAGTTAATAGTGTGAACTTCCGGGTTTTTCAGAATAAAACTGATTTAAATTAAATAGTGTATTTAATTCAAAATGACGCCATATCAACATTGATTTTAATTTCTAACAGTATGTATGTACATCACTATGTATGTATATGTACTGTATAATGTACACATGTAGAGTTGTAGAAAATACATGGTGTACAGTACAGTACACTCTGACTGTATAGTCAATACAGTACTGTACAGTAGGTGTGTAACAGTGTAATGCGTATATTCTACTCTACACTCTACCTTTCAGCAACGTTTTAGGGATTTATGCTCAGTCAGCTCAGGGACTGTTTGGTTACTTTAGTTTGCTAAATGAAAGACATGTTTGAACTTTGTAGTAGTTCACTGTAGTTGCTGTCATAAGTCATTTATAGACTAAGTGGCAAGACGTTTTTTTTTTACATTTGCACTTTGTAGAGAAATGTAGACACAAGTTGGAAGGGAGCACAATAAACCTGACGAGTTTGAATTTGAGTTGATTATGAGTTAATTTTCAATTGATAATTAGCTCACAATAAGTTCACTTTAGTTACTCACACAACTTGACAGAAGCCATGGGTTCAGGTCCGGACTTATAAGTCCGGACCTGAACCTGAACCTCTGGACTTGAGTCCGGACCTGAACCTGAATGTGAGTCCAGGTACGCAGCACTAATTGCAACGGTGTCGGGTTACAAACGTTCTCCCTTTGTCTCACCTCTCACTCTCACTCGCGGGGGGTGCGCGGAGAACTGAGCGGAGAACTGCGCACAGCAGCTGAGTCCCTCTGGGCGGGGCCCCCTGCGCAAGGCGGGCCCCATGCAGCCTGCGTGATTGGCCTGTAGGGAGGGGCGGCCCTGTACATAGCAGACAGTCAGAATTGTGAGAATGAAGTTGAAATTCTAAAAAAGATCTTCGAATTCTGAGTTTAAAGGCAGAGTTCTGAATTCTCTTTTAAGAATTGTGACTTTAATCTCAAAGCTCCAAATAAAAAATGTACTTTTGGTCAGGTGTAACCAAATATTTTGACCCTGATCCTCTTCTGTAGTTTTCTCATGTAATCAGGCAGCCCAACAGTAGATAGAGTAGTGCAGAAATCCAGTTTTCTTGTTTGAAAGTAAACGTTGTTTTGAACACGTTTTTGGTTAGATGCTTGATATAAGGTCTGTGGTTTACACAAGCTTAGGAGATTTTCAAGTTTTTTTTCTCCAACATAAAATATTGTCAATGAATGACTAACTGGGGAATGTCTGAAGCTTCTCTGTGTCATAAAGACTGTGGTTGCTAACAAATGAGTAAATTAAACTATTAAATCACGCTAAATAGTAGCCGCCTTCTAGCTTAGTGTTGGTGATGTGAAGTCATCAAACCGTGTAGTTTGTTTATAGTTGTTTTATAGTTTAAAGTTGGCTTTTATACTTCTGGCCCTTGCATGTCACCTCAAAAATCATAAAGTGGTGTTAATGTGGACACTATTCTGCCCCAAAAAAGCGTAAGTATCATAAACATGAATATGCAACAGATCTTATTTTCTGCAATATCCCAAATGCAATGTAACAATTATTTTCGTCAATGGAGCCCTTGCAATGTTAACCTCCGTCTTGGCTAAAAAAAAGTAATCATTGCACTGAGTCATAGCAATGTCGATGCGTTCCATGTTGCCTCTTTCGTTCACTCATAGACACGGTTTTATATAGTTATTGGTTGGCACATGTGAGGATCATTTATTGTTCCATTTGAGCATGTTTGCCACTATGTCTTTTTTTTGTTTTTTTAAAAAACATCTTTTAATTGACATATGTTGGGCTTCTTCTTGTTTCAGGAGGATCTGATGGAGTCCAGCAGTGATGAGGAGGAGTCTGGCCTGCAGGATGAGAAAACATCAGGTTCAGTGGTCGACATGGAGGATCTGGGAAACATCATGAACAGTGTCAAGAGAGCAAAGGTCAGACTGTGCACACATTTAGTAACTGAAACGCTTATTTTTCAGTACACAATGCAAGCATACATCGATTCTCCTGTGACTCAGTTGACCGGAGTTATTTAATTCCACCTTTACCTTTCTTCAGAAAACCACTACAATTCAGGAAACATTACAGAACGAAAGAACATAATCATAATGAGCTTCAGAGATGTGTAATATACTTGAAGATCTGAGTTGGATTTACAGTCGTTGCTTCACAATATTACAGTAAGGGTTATCATTGAATCATTTTAAAACGGATTAACCCGGAGCCCGTCATGTAGCAGGTTTATTTTCAGCGATTCCGCGTTAAGGTCTGTGAGGGGTCCCATCGTGGCATTAAGCTTCAACCACCTCAGTCCAATCTTGGCGTGTTGAGAAAGGAGATGAAGTGGTGCCATGGATGGAGCAGTGGCAGATGGGTTGATAGACACCAGACCCCGGCAGGCGAGAAGCAAATGCTTGCGTAAGAGCGAGGATGCCCACCTCACAGACTTGTGAGGAACGAGTGACTCGAGAGGCAGTCAAAAAAGAAGGAAAAGGCAAATATCAGTCTTCTTTATTGGAAGTGTAAGGAGTGAAGCAAAGACCTGAGCTATGACAGGGAGAGGGAATGGAAGGAAATTACATCTAGGTATTCAATGTGCTATTAAGACTCAGATCAGTGTACTTTAAAGGGGACCTATCATGCAAAATGCACTTTTTGATGTCTTTTATACATAAACATGTGTCCCCGGTGTGTCAGGGAACTCACGCAGCGTCAGAAAATAAAACCCTCTCTCTTTTCCTCCGTACCCAAATCTCTAAAAACGGGGGAACAACGGAGCTGATCCAGATTTGTGTCCGATATGACGTCATATCTGAAATGTGGACCCACGGCCCTATCAGAAAGTTGCTATCAGAAACAATGCCCGACTGTTTTGGACGTAATATGGTCGGTGTTTACATTAGCATCGCTAACACTCAGAGCTAACCTGTACTGGAGAGCATGTGTGTGAAGAAGCAGGAAGTAAAAAGGAACTCACCTTGTGGTATAACCGGCAAGAGAGAAAGCCTTTGAGCTCCATACTGTTTCAGAGAGAATCCTTGATAATCCATGATATGGCGTTTCATCACGGCAGCATTTAGTTTAGACAGTAGCTGCCGGGTCCTGCATGGGCTCAGACCCCTCCTTTTTTATTTTTTATCAATCTTTTATTTTTTTAAAGCTTTATACCCAAAATCAACACTTTTGAAACAGGAAGTGAAATAGAGGGATATGAGCAGAGTTGGGTGTAATAATAATATTACTTTTGTCGGTAACGGAGTAGTGTAACGCGTTGCTTTTATAATTTAGTAATCACACTACAGTTACTAACATTGCCCCGACACGCGTTACTTCGTTACTTTTATAAAATAATCACACTCACTGACAGACTAGAGGGGTTTCCGCCGCAGGTTTATATACATGTAGGCCTATGTAATCTGCGCGACTTGCGAGACCACATCTCCACGTGCAGTGCTGCATAAACATGGCTGAGTCTTTTCATCTGTAAACTCCCTCAACGGGGCCGCTCGCTCTCTTTTGTTGATCGCCCTCTCACGGGTGAACAGTTCAATGCCCCGCTTCATTGTAGGAATTCTGTCTCTACCACTTTAGTTTGACCATCTCTGTTACTAAGTTATGGAATACTAAATACATAAGTAATTAGATACCTTACCGTTACTACGCTCATAAAGAATGATAAGAATAATGCGTCTTGAACTGGTTTCATTAATTAGTGTCTTTACGTTTCACAGACTGTTAGCTTGTTGTGGTAGGCTGGTAGCCTATTTTAGAGAAAGACTTGTGTTATGTCTTCCTTAATGCAATAGTAATTGGGGGTGCAAGTGGAGTCTCGCAGAGGCAAAACTGTGGCGCGCACACTGTAGGTGCGCCGCAGTCTGCGGGATCTGCCTGTAGGGAGGGGTGGGCCGGCCCTGCGAGTAAAGTAACGAGTAAAGTAACGAGTTACTTTATGTAGAGAGTAACGAAGTAGTGTAATATATTACTTTTTTTTAAAGTAATATTTAATATGTAATATATTACTTTTTTTTAGTAACGACCCCATCTCTGGATATGAGGCATGGCTAGAATGGGTGATCGGTTTGGTATTTTGAGCAAAACACTTCATAGACATGTTTTTTATATATTTGTATATATCTGAGACCTATGCTATTGCCTAAAAATAGCATGATAGGTGCACTTTAAGATCAATCAATCAATCAATGTTTATTTATATAGCCCAATATCACAAATGTTACATTTGTCTCAGTGGTCTTCACAGTGTGTACAGAATATCAGTATGACAACACGACACCCTCTGTCCTTAGACCCTCACATCGTACAAGGAAAAACTTCTGGAGAAAACCCACAGTTTAAAGGGAAAAATGGGAGAAACCTCAGGGAGAGCAACAGAGGAGGGATCCCTCTCCCAGGACGGACAGACGTGCAATAGATGCCGTGTGTAAATTGAAAAGATAATACATTTGCAACATAGGTAGTCCAAATGTTTGGAAATGCATGTGTGTATAATAGGAAGATGAATCCACAAGGATATCCATCCAGGACCTATGATCCAGGACCACAGCCACGACTCAAGATCCAGGGCTCGCGATCCAGGACACAGGACCGCAGGATCATCCATGACTCCGGATCCCGGCGTATATAGACACCAAAAAGAAAGACATTTGGGGAAGCTGGGTTAATCGGAACATGAGAGTACACAGGTATAGACAGAGAGAAGGAAGAAGTAAGATGTCCCCCGACAAACTAAGCCTATATCAGCAAAACTAGGGGCTGAATCTAATCAGCCCTAACTATAAGCTTTATCAAAAAGGAAGGTCTTAAGCGCACTCTTAAAAACGGATAGGGTGTCTGCCGCCCGAACACAAACTGGAAGCTGATTCCACAAATGTGGAGCTTGATAAGAAAAGGCTCTGGCTCCCATTGTACTTTTAGAGACTCTAGGAACAACCAACAACCCTGCATTCTTGGAACGCAATGCCCTAGTAGGACAGTAGGGTATAATGAGTTCTTTAAGGTAAGATGGCGCCTGCCCATTAAGGGCTTTGTAGGCGAGAAGAAGAATTTTAAATTCTATCCTGTGTTCTATAGGGAGCCAGTGTAAGGCAGCCAGAACATCATCATCATCATCTTTATTTAAAGAGACTCTTGGTCCATTATTACAAAAACATACAACACTCAAATATAAATTAAAAAAGGCAGTTATACCAATGTTTCCACAGAGGTGACTGGTATCGTACAGCACTGAAACACGGATTTGACAGCAGCATAATGACAGAGTTATGAGAAACATTCAATTGACAGATGAATTTGTACATTAGATTTCTCAAAAGAGCATGGAACGTGTTGACTCGTGCGTTACAGAACATTTCACTTGCACTGCACCACCTTGGTTTTCTAAGCAGTATACGCAAACAGTCATTATATGCAACCTGGAGCTTCTTGAGGCTCGCCTTCTTATACTTGACCCACAAGGGGGCAGTATAGAGAGGAGTACAATAAGCTCTAAAGAGGTTCACCTTAACCTTATCTGAACACCAAGAGAATTTTCTAGCCAACATGTTGGCTTGCATATATAAGACACGCCGCTGTCTATACATGTCATCATCATCAGCCATTTCATCTGTGATGATGTGTCCCAGATACTTAGTGTTACAGCAAACAGACAGCACCTGTCCTGACAGGTAGAATGTTGGAAAACAAAGGTTCTTATCCCCTTTTGCTCTGCAGATCATTACAGCGCTCTTCTTAGCATTGTATTTAACGTCAAATTTGACTCCGTAATCAGAACAAACATTTAGCAACTGTTGAAAACCAGCACTGCTAGGAGAAACAATAGCCAGATCATCGGCATACATAAGATGGTTTACAATCACATTACCAATCACACACCCTGTTTTACAGACACTTAAATCATCTGATAGATCATTCATATAGATATTAAAAAGGCATGGTGAGAGGAGCCCCCCCTGGCGGACTCCATTACCAACACCAAATGGCGCAGAGACTGCATTCCCCCATTTGATCCGCATGCTCTGGTTGGCATACCAATAAGCCAGGATCCTAATTATACTGTTAGGCACACCCCTTTGTCTCAATTTTAAAAACAGTTTATGGTGGTTAACTCGGTCAAAAGCCTTAGAGGCATCAATGAAACCAATCAGAACAGTGGAATTCTGTCTTCTATATGTTTCTACCATTTCTTTCAAAGCATAGATGCATAGCTCAGTACCATGCTTAGCCTTGAAGCCAAACTGGTTATCTGAGGTACATAAATAGGAACATAGTCTATCTAACAAAATTATTTCCAGGACTTTGGATAACACACTGGCTAGAGCAATTGGTCTATAGTTATCCAAGCTCCCTACCTTGCCCGCTTTGTCCTTAATGACAGGGACTAAAGTAACAGTCAACATGGAGTCTGGCAATATACCATGAGTCATGAGACCGGTAAAACAAATGGCAAGAAGAACTGCAACCTTGGGGCTTGCCAGTTTAAGGTGCTCTGCAGTGATTCGGTCAGAGCCGCATGCTTTATTATCAGCTAGCTGTGCAATTGCTCGATAAACCTCTTTAGCTGTGATTCCCACTGTGTCACTCTTCACAACATTACCAACTTTGTAGGGGTCACTTTTAACACAATTGAGTATATTAGAGTAATGTTGCCTCCACAACTCAGCTATGTTATCGGCTCCAGATACTCCCTCTATGGTACACGGTAATGACGTACTGGCCCTGTTCAGAGCTCTCACCTCCTTCCAGAAGCCAGTCACATCATTATGAAGGAGCTTTTCAGCCATAGAGTCCGCTCTCAATGTTTCTGTGTGTTTGTTGACATAACGAACTGCATATTTATATCTAGCATTTGTACGCTTTTTGAGATCCAGGACAGGCCCCTCTCTGGGCCTACCTGCCTGGACCCAGGCCCCAAAAGCAT